TTTATACTATATTGAATAAAAGCTACATAGAGATAGCTACTGAATTTATGATCAATAGAAAATTGCAAATTTTGTCTCCCAACCAATTCTATCAAATGATCCAGCACAACACATCAATAAAAAGCTCTGAATTGACGCTGTTCCTCTATTTCATGCCCTGCTAAAGTTCCCTGGGGATGACAGATTAATTTAATTAGTTTTACTGAAGTTTCTAGTTGCTTTTATTGGCAAACCTACTCATAGGCTGAAATTTCTCTTGGGGTTACCATTGTCCTACTGGTCCATTTTTAAAATAAAAGTGCATTTACTGTCACTTCTTATATAGTTATCTGCTATGCTTTCTGTTGTGAAGACTGACATTTGTAAAGTGCCTCCACTGACACTTATATAGGAAGTTTTAAGTTGTTGTTTTTCCTAAATGTGGTTAATGTAAAAAGGAAGCAGACAGCTACAGTCTAATGGACCGTAAACTGAATACCTTGCCCAGCTTTCACTGGGGAATTAAGTTAATCTGAGCACAACACAGAACATGGCTCTTTTATGCCACCTGTAAGCACTGAAGTGATCAGTCACTTCCAAACTTCCTCCACTTGACAGTTTGTGCAGCACAGAAGCATCAAAACAACAGCAGCGAGGCTGCCAAGTTTCAATCCAAGCTGTGGCTTGCTTAGATGGGTCTAATCAAGGTCCCTGGACTTCAACACACTGCCAGGCAGTGGGAGGTGCATGAAATAGAGCAAAATTAACAGCAGGAATGGAATTCATTTAATCCTAGTGGTCAAATGCCCAGAATCATGAAAAAAATGTAAATCTTAACTTGGATTTGGGTAATTTTATTCATGGCAGTATTTTCCTATCCAGCTGAAAGATCCCTAATCACGTATTTTTAGAAGTGTGAGAGGAATAATTTAAAATCTAGATGAAAATTTTGAAGCTTGGACCATTTTTTCTGTATTTTTGTGTAAGGTCAAATGAGATATTTTATGCTCCAGTGAATTTCCCACATTTCCTCTGAGTTTAAAAAAAATGAGCAGATGCTGCCTTCTGATTTTGAGCATCATAGCTCTGCACCAGATTTCAAACACTCTTCCTCAGATTTGAAAGAGGCTTTTGTCCTCTGTGACAATTTTTTTCAAAAGCAGGGTTGGATGTATTTCCACGAGATTTTGTCCAAAGTTTTTCTAGGAAGTGTGTAGTTCTGAACATACCACTCTGACCACATCTACAGAAATTTGTATGATGCACTATTTTGGAAATTCAGCTCTTTTGAGGCTCCTTCAACTGCAAAGCTTTACAGCAAGTAGGAAATATTTCATCTTTCTAGACACATGCTCTAATTGCTAAATTACATCCCTGTGGGCTCACCAGCCCTTTCACCTATATATCCATCTTGTTAATATTATCCCTATGACAAAAAACACACTTTGATGCTCTAGATAGGAAAAATAGAGACTTAACTAGAAACTTAACCTAGCCTTCAAATGCCCATCCATTACAGAATCAATGAAAAAGGTTTTAAAAATTTCCTGCTTATGGAGGAAGTACTCCTATAATTTTAAAATTTATTTAAGCTATATAGGTCATGTTCTGTTGGAGCAGTATGTTTTAAATTCTGAATTCTGAGTTTTAGAAATATATTTATTTATGTATGTTTATCCATTTTCCATCAGATCTGAAGTAATAGTCCTATAGGATTTACTTGTCAGTTAGTCTGTGAACACTCATTTTTTCACTGCACCAAGCACATTTTAAGAAACAGAACCACTGGGATTTTTAGGAATACTAAAATCTGGAAGATTAAAATCCCATATGAAAGACGTAATTTTATGGTCCAGCTAAGTTATAACATATCTCTGTGCTTGTTAAACCAAACACACATCATGAAACCAATTACACAGAATTTAGAAGGACTTATTTTGACTCCAGATCTTGTTCTATGGGAACTAAAAGAGTATCTTTCCAAATAGCACAAGGAAGAATAGAAGCAGTCAAAGTTAATATCACACATTCAGATACAATAAAAAGAAAACATTCTAAAAATGTGATTTTCTAATTAGGATATTAGCAATTCTTAAAAAGCCAAATTGAAGTCAGGAATGTAAAAATTAATGAATTCTATTTCCCACGTTTATAAGAATGAAACTATACTCTCAGCAGAAGGTCCTAATGTGCTCACAGGGGGTCACTCCAGGCTATTTATAGCCTCAAAAGGTTCTTTTTAGCTGGGCCAGAACAGCCAAGGATGCTTGGGTTTTTCTAGTCAAGGCATATTCTTTACAGCTTCACTGCGTGTAAATTTAACATATGAAGAAAAATTTTTAAATCACTAGCATGTCAGATTCTTATGAGATGCTTACAAGAATAACAGAAACTTCAGCTGAAAATATCCTTGCAATGCCAACTGCACACCTAGTATAAATTCATGCACAAGCGAAAATCACCTTCTGTAAATATGTTACTTTCTGAAATCAATGGGATCCAATTAGTTTTGTGTGTTTTCTGTTTCCTATGTTATGACAGACAAAAATCTTTCAGGTGACCATGTATTTTTTATGCTTTAAGTAGAATTTTTGCAGGTCATTAGTTTATAATGCAAACCAGCATGCTGGGTGCTTTTAAAGAAAAATGAAAGTGAGAGGAAAACAAGTTGAGCTGTTTAGTTCATACAATCATAAGAACCTACATTTCTATGCATTTGATTCAGGTAAAGCTCTACCTTTTATATGATTTTAGTGGCAAATGCCTACAGTGACAGTGAAAGTGACTGAAATACACGCTGAGGCTTTTTGCAAGTAGCATCATGATATGCAGCATGCTTCTACGATAGCAGCTATCCCCAGTGTATCAATCATACATAAGAAGACCAGAACTGGATTTTCAATCCTCTTATCTCATCCTCCAGTGTCTCCTTTCTCTTCTATATTTTATAGGGAGGAGAGACAGAAAGTAGCCACAAGATTATTTCTGTGGCAGCTTCAACTCCCCCGCTGGTTTTCTGCTTAATGCTTGTGACTGACACTTAGTTCTGTCTGAAGGATAAGGACAGGACAGACTTCTGAGTACCAATCAATGGGGCATGCCACATGCTGTAATTGAAAAATACAGTGCTTCTGCAATAATATGAGGACATCACTTTTAGTGCAAAGCAGTGGTAAAGAGAAATGAGAGTAATATGTAGGTTGCACTTATTTTTACGGCACATGTCTGAACATGGTTAAAAAATGTGAACCTCAGCTACAGAACTGGAATTCTGTAATTCAGCCATGTTCAGATCAAGGTTAAGCTCCACTTTTATATTTCATCTTCAGAGCATGAGATCTTTTCAGCCTAATCATCTATCTGATGTCCTGCTGTACCTTCATCCAAGTTACCTATTAGCTTGCCACAGGATGGGTCAGGTTGGAAATGACCACAGTGGGTCATCCAGTCCAACCCCCCTGCTCAAGCAGGGTCATCCTAGAGCACCTTGCACAGGAATGTGTCCAGATAGATCCTGAATATCTCCATTGAGGGAGACTCCTCACCCTCTCTGGACAGTCTGTTCCAGTGCTCGTTCACCCACACAGTAAAGTGGTGCTTCCTCGTATTCAGGTGGAACTTCTGTTCATCTGTTTCTGCCCATTGCCTCTTGTCCCGTTGCTTGGCACCACGAGAAAGGCTCCATCCTCTGATACCCTCCTGTCACACACTTAGAGACACTGATAAGGTCCACTCTGATTGGTCTCTTCTTGAGGCTGAACAGGCCAGACTGCCTCAGCCTTTCCTCATAAGTGAAATGCTCCAGTTCCTTAATAATCTCTGTAGCCCTCTGCTGCACCTGCTCCAGGAGCTCCATGTCTCTGATGCCCTGAGGAGCCCTGAACAGGCCACAGCACTCCAGATGTGCCTCACCAGGGCTGAGTAGAGGGGCAGGATCACCTCCTATGAGCTGCTGGAAATGCTCTTCTAATGCACCCCAGGATCCCATTGGCCTTCTTGGCCACTGCTGGCTCATGGACAGCTTGTTTTCCACCAGGACCTTCAGGTCCTTCTCCACAGAGCTGCTTTCCAAGAGCTCAGCCCCAGCCTGTGGTGGTCCAGGGGTTTTTTCCTCCCCAGGAGCAGGACCCTGCACTTGCCTTTCTTGAATTTCAGAAAGTCCCTCTCTGCCCGTCTCTCCAACCTGTTGAGGCCCTTCTGAAGGGTTGCACAACCCTCTGGGGTATGGGCTGCTGCTCCTGGCTTTGAGTCAGCAGGGAACCTGCTGAGGAGGCCTCTGCCCCTTCCTCCAAGTCATTGATGAATTAGGTGAACAAGACTGGACCCAGTATTGAACCCTGGGGGACACCACCAGTGACAGGGCTCCAACCAGACCCTGTGCCACTGATCACGACACTCTGAGATCTGCCACTCAGACAGTTCTCAACCCACCTCAATGTCCATTAATCCAGTTCATACTTCCTGAGTTTGCCAACAAGGATGTTGCAAAGGACAGTGTTGAAAGCCTTGCTGAAATCAATTTAGACAATATCCACATCCCTCCAGGTAGTTGTTTCATCATAGAAGGCAATCACTTTGTAGAAGGCACACACACAGGCACAGCACAGTGGGCTAGCATTAGTAAACCTGTAAAAGTACCCAAATTGCACGCTCCTAATCTCAGGCCATCTCACACTATTAAGTACTTTCCTTGGGCTCTTCTTTTATGGAGACTTCTCAAGCAAAACAATGCAAGATGTACTTAGGAAACATCTATCTTTCCAAACAGTGCATGTTCCCCCCACCTCCCTGAAGCAAGCACAAATGGCTAACCACCTGTAGAGACATAGCAGCCTGGGAACCAATCTGTAGAAAGCTGTCCTTAAGGTTTCCACTGCTGAGTGGAAAAACAAAAGCATCACAAGGATTTGCCTAAAGTCACAAAGCAGGTGAGTAGCACAAAGACACAAAATACCACTGCTTCTCTTTTTACCTCTTCTTTTGTCTATGATATCTAATGAGAGATTTGGGAAATTACATACCTTTAAAAAGATATGTGAATGTATTTAGAAACTCTTCATATGACTGCTCATGGCTATTAATAAATTGATCAAGGATGCTGTTCTTTAACAGTTGTTCTCCCATGATCATCCACACCTTGAGAGTCGACAAGTGTGTCTGTTTTTGTAGGCTGCTTCTGCAATAGAAAGAAAAGAGCTATATATACCTGCAGGCAGAAAAGAAACCAACAGAAAAGTCCATAGCTCACATAGATGGGCACTAGAAAGTATAAATTTTCTTCTCTCCTTGCAAAGTTCTGATCTCATCAGTGGAACTTTACTCAACATTTCCCCCAAAATTCACATGAACATAGAAATTTTAAGTACAAAGGGAGAAACTGTTATAATTTATGCTTGAAATTTATGACCATTGGAGTGCCAGCTTCTCTTAGCGCTGTTCATTCCCTTAAGTTGTTCAGTCTTTCAACCCCTGCTTTCTTTGCAGAAAGAGTGGCACCCCTCATAAGCACATTGTATTTAACAGCCAGGCCACACCTGTACATTCAAATTTTGGACTGAATCCATCATCTCCAGGTGCACTGCACACTGTGCCATCGAAGCCACAAATTCAGATTTTGAACCACACATTAAATCACAATGACAGGTGTGTTTGTGTGTGTGTGTGTGTGTGCTGAGGCAGCACACAGGACAGGGAGAGCATGCTGGAGCTGGACAGCCATGCAGGAATGTGAGAAAGGAACAAATGCTGGGAGCTGAAGGAAGCTCCACTCTCCAGTCACACAGCAACAGCTTTGCAGCCTGCCTCCGTCACTTAACCAGACTCTATGGGCAGTAGCGGTCCTGACCAGCCTTCGGTGAATCCTGCTGAAGTTAACCTTGCCCCTAACTCATAAAATCTGTGTAAGCACATGTTAACACCTGCATGATGCTACACACTTGCCCATATCACTTATTTTTTATACACATAGGTCTACACTGATAGAATCAGTTTGCACACATAATCCTGATTGAGATGCAAGAACGCATTATTCAGTAAGTGCTTGATTTGCATGTGTTTCTCTGTTTCCTCTTGATTTTCCACAACACTGGATCTTCAAATGAAAGCTTAACTCTCCAGCAAAACTTCAACAATACTAAGGAAAGGCTGCCAACCTGATACTGAAGTTAAATAAGATTTTAAAAATAATTGTTTGGAGACCAGGAGGAAAATAAAGCATGACTTCTAACATAAAACTCTAATTTTGTTGCATTGCCTGCTTCCAAGGAAGACTAATGTTCTGAAGATATCAAAATACATGCACACCCACATGACCTAAAGTTTAAGTTTTCAAATGTTTCACAAAAATCCAACCATTATTAATCTCTCTGTGGATTGACCAAGCAGAATATAACTCACTAAACTCTCAGAGTTCTTTATGCATATTACAGGGCTTTCAGAGGTAAGCAGTGCCTTCTATTCCTCATTATGGTTAAGTTATTAAAATTATGACTTGAAATACTGCTGTGATTTGTAAGGCTACTGTAAAATTATATATATATATATATATATATATATATATATACACACATACACAATCAAGACAAAGTTAATAACTTTTTGTTTTTCTTTGGAGTCTGGTGTCTAGGATCTCCAACTCCCTTACAAACACTAACAAAATAAACTCAAAAACATTCCCAAAAGGAAGAATAAATAAATATTATTCCAAATAACAGATTAAAAAAATGAGCCACCAAGAATTTAAATTATTTAAAAACATGTTAGTGGAGGGCTGACAGCAAATCTTAGATTAATTTTCTCTAAAATGCTTGAGAAAACTAGAAAATTAATATGCAATTTGGGGGCACAGTCATACCCTTAACCAGCTGCATGACAGCTTTCTCTGTGAAAGCCATGCTCTACAGCCACCAGATCACCAGCCTGAGATTCAGCACTCACACCATGTGGTACCATCATATATCTCAATTCTTACTTTGCTGTGCAGCTTCTACTTCCTACAGAATTTGGGAAATTTCACTTCATATATTCCCTTGTACAGTTGTTATTGAGGTCTACAGAATCATCTCCTCATGGAGAGGAAAAACCAGCTAGGTCTTAATGAAAGCCTAGGTTCTGTCAGAAAACCAGCCACTCTCTCAGACAACAGAGAGGAGAGACTGGCAGCCAGAACTATCTGTTCCCCATTTTCATTCATTTTCAAGAAATGCCCAGTGCTGTAGCATGGCCCTAAATAAAAGCAAATGTAGAGGCTGGTATGTAGGGAATATCTACTATCCCTGAAACCGAATATGTGGCTAGGATGGATGGTACAAGCAAGGTGTTCAAAAATTTATCTCAAGCCATCAAGGCTTTGGTAGCTTTCATTTTTATTCCACTTTGTTTTCTGCTGCTTCCCACCAACCTTATTCCAGTCTCTCTTAAATGATCACCGCACTGTGTCAGTCACAGAAAAGTTTTGTGAGGTGAACAGCTGAAACCAGGCTGACCAGAAGACTCTCACCTTTGCTAAGGAGCTAACCAGTAGATTCTACATAAGGAAAAGGCTTCAGCAATCACCCAATTCACAGCCTCAAGGCAAAGACTTCTTTAAACTATCCTGAAAAAATGAAAAAATACACAATAATGGATTGGAATCCTCCACAATTTATAAAGTTGATACAATGACAGTTCTAGGAGTGAAATTACTGAATTGTTCTGTTAAAGAATAGATACTACTACTAAAATCAAAAACTTATCTTCTTTTTTCCCCAAAGGAATCAAACTAACTTGGAGGTGTCAAGGAAAGTAAAACAAGGGCATCGGATCCTTTCCTTGTGATGGCTTTGGATACTTCTGAAGTCAAATATCATAAGTGATACACTGAAGCAGCATCTATGCTTTCTTCTTTTTGCATTTCACTCCTGCTCATCCATCCAAATAACTTTAATGAGGTTTCTTGAGGCAATCATTCATTAAGCTTTGCTGATCATCATCAGATTGTGCAAAATCAATTTTATTTCTCAAAATGCATTCTTCTTCTGAGCAGTTAAAACAACTCAGAAATCTCTGCATTGAATCAGAGAGGCAGGTCAAGTGAGTATTAGCATGATTTCAATTATACAGTGATTAATTCTATTAAACAACACAAAATGTGGTGGAATATAAATTTCCTTGTTTATGTTGCATTTTTAAGTATTTTATGTTTCTTTAAAATACGACAGAGGCAATGAAAGAAAAATCAAGATTCTTAATTTTTTTAAGGAAATTGCAGGAAGCTAATTGTCTCTACAAACTCAATAAAATCTTATGTAATATAATATTTCAGGGGGAAAAAAAACTTCACTAGCATTTCTGGCATAAGTTCAAGTTAGGTTTTCACACTATGGATTTGCTCTCCTAGAAGTCATTCCCAATTTTAAAACAAGGCTGATTAATAAACAGTGTTTTTTATAGTTCACCCATAGGTTCATGGAAAATATCCACTAGGTACACCCGGTACCAAGATTTTATAATCCATGCCTGCAAAAATGTTCAGATTGAACATAAATACACTATTTTTCAATTGTATACTCTGTTACCACTGGACAATGCCCCATCTTTTCTTCCCTTTAGAGCTATCACAGTTACTATACCTTCAACAATATTGTTACAGCAATGAAGAATGAGATAGCAGCTTTGCAAAAAGAATGAGATTTTAGCAGACAAGTGCACTCAGAATCAGTTTAAGTCTAGCTATATTCTGGCTGCTCCCAAAAAGGCTACCACCACCTCACTTCCTCTTTACCTCCTGGTTTACCACTCCAGTCCCTCTCTCAGGCAGGCAAAATAAGCTACCCACACAAAAACTGAGAGTAAACAGAGCAAACACATATATTCTGTTTTAAAGATATATTTTCTGATCTGCCTTTCAGCTGTACGATCATGATTGCCTGTACAAGGGGACAGTGGGAACGTGCAGTGCGAGCAAGGGAAGGACGCAGGATTGTCCTTTTGGTGGCCTGTCATAGTGGCTTATGCAACCACAAAAGCACAGCCTCATCAGAAACACCCTCACCAATGGCCCAGAAAGCGGTGCCTCCTCCACACTGCAAAAGCAGATGTCAGCAGGGCACTCCTACACCCACCGTGCTGAGCTGGAGCCTGCAGTGCAGACCATCAGCCCCCACGGTGCAAAGAGGCAGGCAAAGCTGGAAGTCAAGCCTGTCCTTAACAAATGCTTGTTAGCTATGGACTGTGGGTTCTGCCTTAACAAATATCCCAGGATGTTGCTTTAAAAGTAGGCCAGGTGAAGGCGTGTTTCTGGGAATTCCTGCTCAAGAAAGACATAAAACATTTTGAGTTAAGCAATTACACATTTTTCTGAAGGCAGAAAACTGCCTCCTTCTTGTCTAGACATCTGCAAATCCACAGTTGCAGAAGCTCTCCCTCCTCCTACTGTCCTGCCCTACTTTTCTCCCTCTTCCTCCTCCTCCTCCCTGCTACCACCACCTGTGGGGAAGCAGACCTCCAGCAGCAAACACAAAGCCACCAAGTTCTGGCCACAAGCAGGTGCAGGTCAGCCCAGCTGGAGATAAAAACCAGAAGTTACAGAGGACAAAAAATTTCAGATGAGGTTCCTTCCAGCATCTCACAATTCAATGTGATCTATGACAGCTAATCCTGTTAAAATCAACTGGATGTTTGCCATTGCCTTCAGCAGGAGGCCTTAAGGGCACACACTTAATGCATCAGCAATTTGTGTGGACAGGAGCTGCATCTGCTTGCCTGAGTGCATTACTGAGTCTGAGAGCTGACCTTTAGATGGACAAAAACATGTGCCTCTCATGCCCAGCTCCTACAAGCTTTTAAAGGATATATCCAAGGGCTTTAATTGCAAGCCAGCATATTGATCCTGCTGGATTTCAGTGCTATTATGTCAGTCCTATACCTGAGCAGAATTTTTTTTTAATGAACTTCCAATGGCTTCAAGAGTATTGCTCCCTTTAAAGACAGCCTGGAGGCCCGTGGGAAGGGCAACATTTTGTCCAAACTGAGGCAGCCACTGCCCCCTGGAATGTGATTGTCCAGGATCTGACAGTCAAAGCACAGCTGGATTCAATCAGATATATTAGATAAGCCATCCAAATAAAGCCCTCTCTCTCACAAGTTAAATACTGTTTACTGTCAGTTTTAGATGAGATAGAAAATTGAAGATTGTAGGGTGCTAGACTCCCTGTGCCCTTTTCTACAGGTTTCAGCCTGTGGGTCCTGGCTAAGTATCCAGCATATTTGCATTCCGGCTGGCAAAACCTACATAAATGAGTAAGGCAGCCTTCCCTTTCCCTGCTGAGCTGGAGTGCATTACTGCAACCCACAGGAAGCCAGCCACATTTCAGCTCAGAGATGACTGTGTTTTACTGGCAGAAAATATGCTGAAAAGCCTGGAAATATCTCAACGCAATTTGGAATGGTTTGGAATGGAGAAGATGCAAACAACATATTATTTTAAGAAATTAATCGTAGAAGATGAAAATCAAGTGAAATAAAGCATTTCCATAACAGTGAACAATCTGCTAAAAACATACTACTTCTTTCAATGTTATTAAAATAGAAATTGTGAAGGAAAAGTCTATTTATTCCTTTTCACATGGGTTCTCTGCCAGTTAAATTCAGGATGAAAATCCAAGATCTTCTTGCTATGACCTGGATAGTTTTGAACATGATTTCCCTACCATGTAGCTACATTATTCTGAAGCTATTTTCTGTAGATTCTCCAAAGCATTTTGTCACTGACAGTTAGAGACCAGCTTGGACAGACCATGTCCTCATCCAAAAATGACATGCTGTTGCCAAAAACCTTTGATTTCTCCATCTTCTCAACCACAGTAATTGGAAAAAGAATTTCTAAAGATAAGGCATGTCAACTGGTAGAAAGAATCTAAAAATAATGTAAAATATCAAAGTGACACAATTGGAGGACTGGATTTTTCACTTGAATATTTGTTTTGGGTTTTTTTGCCAGTAGATCTTTGACCACAGACCCAAACAAAGGTCGAGATACATCAAACACTTAGATAAGAAGCTGTCAGGTATTATCTAGGTACTACTGAAAATACAAATAAATGTGATCTGAATGCCCTTAAATTCGGGGGAAGTTCTTCAGCATTCAACTCTGCACTAAAGTTTCCTTTTATCTTTGTTTCAGTAGAAAAGGCCCATCTGGATGCTACAGGGCACAGTGCCTTAGCACTGCTGTATTTCAGATGAAAAACATCACCACATCCTATCTGCATTACAGTTATTCAATGTCTCAAGACAATTTTCGCAAACATTTGGTCTGTTTGCTTTGCTGTACTAATCAAATTCCATTTCAAGTTCCTTCTATTCCTATTCTCACAGCAGTTTCAAATGGGAGTTGAGATATTTCTAAAATACTGTGCAGCAGATGTTGTAACTCAGGAGTGGGTGAAGTAGGGCCAGGAAAACAAAAGCAGGGAGCTATGAAGAGTAAATTGTTTTCCAGGTTTTTCTGTTTATTTGTTGTGCTGTGTTATGCAAGTGGCTTATCCTCTGTGCCCCAGCACTGCTAGCTGTTGAAAGGATATGTTCCCAGTGGACTTCCCAGCGTCTCATTATTTGTTGTTGGAGAAAAGCACTGCGAAACTGATGAAAAATGCCACAGAAGGGTGCAAAGCTTTATTAGTCTTTCAAGGTCTGATCAGAAGGCCACTGAAGGAGAAGAAAAGACATTTCTAATTACTTCAGTGGACTTTGAGTTGGACTTTTTAGTCAGCCCTCACTCAGTGAACTGCATGCATTTCTCATTTCCTTTGCTCTTTTTCAATGTCATTGCCCGCTTGCAGCAGAGCATTCCTGGGTAAAGTAGTATGTCAATCAGCAAGAGTTGTTTTCTTTTACTACCTATTTAAATTATTTTTTAACTCAAAATTTATTTTAAATTACATTTTAGAATAGCACTGAAAAAATTCTGAAGACAATCACAAGGTTGATAGGTTTAACAGCGTAAAAAAATTCAACCGTAAAGAGGCATATGCTGCAAATATTTACAACCTGAAGAGGCACCTGCTGTCACTCTGAGCTTGTTCCACAGCAAAGAGTTAAACAGGAGGCTGGTGGGTTTCTTGTTGTGCCATCTGAAGACAAGAGAGGAAAGGAAAAAAAAACAGTCACAGCCAGTTAGCCACAGTAGATGGAGTTCTCAGGAGCACATCTGCAAATTAAGCAGACAGATTCCCCTCCATCAGGCTGTCTTTCCATGCCACGAGCCCCCTGTGCTGTCACAGAAGATTCCTCACATTGCTCACATTTGAATCCAAATTACACAGAAAGATTACGGAGGACGCAAAAAACTGCTGTCAGCCAGGTACGTCTAAATTACTGTTTTGCCCAAAGCAAACTTGGTTGATACACTTAGCAAATGTTTTGAGAAATACTATATGAAAAATTTTCTTCCTTAAGCTTCTTTACAGAGGACTTCAAATTTCTCTGTGTGTCTAGACATGATTTTGATTGTGGAGAATTTGGAAAGAGCACTTGCTTTTCAGGGGTATGCTTTTCCATTTTGGAAATGAAAAACTAGATCTGTCAGAGAAAAAAAAAACCACAATACTGCAAAATCAATTTAATTCTGTAACAGATATCTGTGTTCATGCCAAAATAACTGCAAACTAATTAATGGTCACAAATGGGTGTTTACCAGCTAACACTCCATGTTATCTTGCATTCCATTCTCTCAGTGTCCAATCAGTACAGCTTAAATATCTTACTTTTGTATAAATGAAAAAAGGTTCCTTGTGTTTGCTGCAGTTCATAAGATCAACTCATTTGTCGTTCATTATTTTGCAGCATTCAAATTACTACATATGAAATTATTACAAATAATACTTTCAATGTTGAAAAATATGAGCTGACACACTAAACAGCATCACTGATTAGTCATTGTTCTCCTGATTAGAATGTTTTTGTTGCCTAACTGGGTAACAGGCAAAGCACATAGGTGCTTTGCTTAGCACCATTTCTGAATAGGGTCAAAGAGGGCAGTAAGTAATAAACACAGTTTGGGAGTGACTCAGTGCCTAAACACTGTCATCTAGCGACATTTTATAAGCCCTAGATTTACTAGGATCTAGGACAGAAAACAGTGGGAGACTTGCTTCCATAGGAGAAGCGAGAAGACAAGGAAGACTATCCAAAGGTACATGAAATGTCAGTTGCTGTTTAGGTCACTCAGTGCTACCTACCCCTTGTCTCTAAAAGCTGCTCATCCTGTACTTCTCTGTGAACACCTAATATGGTTTCTGAAATGGTATACCACCCAAAATTGTAACTATGTAACAATGCAACTATTTCAATAGTAAGCACATTTTAAATTACATTAGCTAGTGCTTTTAAAAAACATCTTCTCTCTTAATTTGATCCTTCTATAAATATATCTCCTAATGATCTATCTATCTAAATTTTAATTCCTTATAATCTGTTTTCGCCAATAAACATCTCTTACCTGAAAAACCTGCTCAAAATACTGTTTCATTTTAAAATAAACAAGGGGAGAATACTAGTTTTCTTCTTTCTGTTACCTTAGCTTCTACCTCAGGTCTCTACTGCTTCCCAAATAGGAGGCTTATAAAAGTAATGCTGAGATTCTCATTTATTTGTATAATCCTTACATCTTAACCTTTCCTAAAAACACAAAATATGATGAAGCATGACTCAAGTCATCATAACTGGTAACTGTTTATGTAACTCTCACCTTCTCTTCTTATGCAACTTTACTCCTTGTAATGTCTCTTCCCCAGTTGTGCCTTGCCACAACAAAGACATTTTTGTCTGTTTCCCTCTGCACTAGCTGTAATGCTAATCCAACTCCAGTTTTAAGCATAAAGCCACAAAAAAAGCACTTTAAACTCTTTGCTTACAAGGGTAGATCTTTTGGGTTCCCCGAAGCTGTTCAGGGCTAGATGAGCCATGGCCCAAAGGAATCAGTGGTATTGGAAGGTTAGATTTGGAGGTCAGCACAGCCAAAGAGCAACCACACTATATTGACACACTGTAATTAGCATGAAAACACACGGAAAGGCAAAGCAATTTCAGCCAGTGCCTAAGGAGCTACTTCTGTCCAAAAATCTCAGATAAATATTCGCTTCATTACATACTGAACTGTTTGCTTATGTAAAGTTCAAGAAATATTACAAGATGACAAGGAAGTGTGTTTAAGTGTTCTAACCCAGTATGTTCTATGTGTCTAGCAATCAAATAATTTTCACTGATCTTTTCCCCACTCTGTATCTGCAGACTCTTCAGATAGTAAACTCTTCAGAACTGAGTACTGCTTAATATTTGGGAAATAGTTTGTGACAGTGTGGACACTAACTACCCTATTTGGAGATTCTTCAAGCATATGTAAAAATATAAGATGCATACCAACATGTCAGTTAAATTGTCTGCTACTTTTAATACTCCTGTTAGACTTCAAATATTAGCCAGCAGTCAAATGTAGAAGTGGAGTGGTACAAGATAAAGAACTCTAATTTTCTAATATAGAACAGAAATTTTCTTACAGTATCTTCATTATAAAAGACATTTTCTTTTTCTAAAGATCGTATAAAACCAAAGAAGCTAAGTAACCAGACATAATGAAAGAAGAGCCAAATGACATCTAGTCAAGTAAACCTTAGTGCAAGCTCCTCTGATGATGCCATTTTTGAATCCTTGTAAGAAACAAGCAGCAGATTCCTGTTTAGCATATCACCTGAAGGTAAATAACTTCATAAGTCTTTCTCCATGCATAATAAGGACAAAACCTGCTGTGTATACCGACACGCTCAGGAAAGGGTTCACTAATTTAATTAACTTATAACTGAACTTCACCCACAGTGCAGTACTTCTAAAAAGAAATCTAAATGTAGAAAAAACTATCACCTTCAGGGCAGAGGCATTAGGCTACACAGTGAATGGAACTCAACCATGATCTCTGGATGATTTCACAGCATAAGACAGCTATTCCATGGAGTTTTTCAAACAGATTCAGTATTGGTTATGCCTACCCTGTCTGTGTGCTCCGGCCTGAAAACATCTCACCTTTGAAAAGCATTCCATGGCAGATCCCTATTTTAGCACAGCACTTCCCATACCAGTTTGCAGGCAGGCAGTGCAGCAATATGGCAATTGATATAGTCAGTGTAATCAGTTCCCATGTTTTTACAGCAACTCTTCCTCTACACGATGTTGTTCAGATCCCCCCAGGTTTTGATGTCAAGTAACTAGAAGATACCAATCCTTCTTTAAAAAAGAAACCCCGTGTGTCTTGTTTTTGTTGCCACAGCAAAATGAAAAGAAGCAACAAGGAAAATATGAATCCTAAAGATTTCAACAAGAAAAAAAATTATTTACATTTTAAAATGTAGGACTTAATGGGTTTTTTTCCTAATATTTAGTTCACATCTTTCAGTTCTGGGGATTTGGCAAAGTCTGGGATGGAACACTCAGACATCTACTGAAGGGCACAAGTCTGCTGTCACCAAAGGACACTGCCAATGAATCATCCAGTAATTTCCCTCCCTGGTGTCTGTGCTCTCCAAAGCTCTTTCACAGTCAATATCCAGGCTCATTACATAAACTCCTTTCGGTCTTCAAACAAACAGGTTTACAAGACTAAAAGATACCCCTTGAAACTCCTGAAAGCATGAGCAAAGCGCAAAGATGAAAGACAAAGGATTCGCGCACCCTGAAGCCCCTGAAGCGGCAGCGGGACTCGCAAGCCCGAGATCCCGACTGGGCTGTTCAGCACCAGCCTGAGATCCAGCCCGGCACTCGCGACTCCTGCCGCTGCAGGCAGCCCCGCACGGCTGCAAGGACAGCGAGCACCTCCTGCCTCTAAATGCAGTCAACAAATCCTGACGTTTTCCTTGTAAACAAAACGTGCAATCTGAAGTTTCCGTGCACGCCCGGCCCCAGCTCACTGACTGCGGGGCCCTGGGGCAGGTTCCCGGCCGGGAGCGGGATGGGCAGCAGGAGCGAGCCCGAGCCCCACCGGACGAGGCTCCCGGACTCGGGGCCCCAGGCCTGCGGCAGCCGGGAGGCTCCAGCCCGGCATCCGCGGCCGCCTCGGGGCGACAAACGGGCAGGAAATCCCGGCTTGTGGCATCTCCGGAGCTGCTCCCTCCGCCCCGGGAGCGCCGGGGCCGAGCCCCGCCGCCAGCAGACCGGCCCCGGCCTCGGCCCCGGCCCCGCGGCCGCACTCACCGCAGCCAGCTCTCCGATTGCCCACGGCGGGGACAAGCCAAGCGGCGGCCGGGCCGGGCCGGGACAGACACCCAGCGAGGACTACCGGCCCCAGCAGCCCCCGGGCCCGCGGTCCCGTGCGAGCGGCCGCTCCCGCCCCGGGAGGCCGCCCCAGAGCGGGCCTAAGGCCGCACCGTGGGCGGGCTGCGTGTGCCAACGGCCCGTGGTGTGCACAAAATCCCCAAAAACCGAGGAAATGGTGCACACCTCGTGCTTGGTTCATGTCTCGAGACGCAGAAAGGCGTGTCTGTGTGGGTTTCAGAGTGAACTGCAGCACAACTTCCGTAGGATTTATTCAAGTTCTGTTAAATATTTGTGATAGGATCTAATTCATGTTTGATCTCTGTGTTTTTTTATTTTATTTTCCCAGCTACGGTATGGCCCAGTCAACAGACAAAATGTTGCTGCAGATGGTATCCACCGTCAATAACTCATCCTTGCTTCAGCCAGGCTTCTCTCTCCTGAATTTTGATGGGCATGTTTTCTTTTTTGGTCAGAAAGGATGGCCAAAGAGATCCTGCCCCACTGGTGTTTTCCTCCTCAATATAAAGCAGAATGAGCTCAAAATGAAACCTGCCTTCTTCTCTAAAGACTCGTGTTACCTTCCCCCTCTCCGCTACCCTGCACTTTGCACGCTCAGAAGCGATGCAAGGCCTGATGAGTACCAGTATATCATCCACGGTGGTAAAACACCTAACAATGACCTTTCTGATAAGATTTACTTTATGAGTTTGGTAAGCAAAGCTAGCAAGAAAATGACGTTCCAATGCATTGAGAAAGACCTGGGTGGAGATGTCCCTGAAGCTAGATATGGGCATACAATTAATGTAGTTCATAGCCGGGGAAA